TTTTTTCCGTTTGGTACTACATACCATGAAGATCTTTGACCGCGAGATCTGGTCTCCTAGATCGCATCCCGATTCTAGGAGACCAGATGTACATATATATATATGATACATATATATATATTTTTTTTTTCCGTTTGGTACTACATACCATGAAGACCTTTGACCGCGAGATCTGGTCTCCTAGATCGCATCCCGATTCTAGGAGACCAGATATATATATATATATCTAGATATAGATATAGATATATATATATATATCTATATATATATATGATATATATATATATATTTTTCCGTTTGGTACTACATACCATGAACACCTTTGACCGCGAGATCTGGTCTCCTAGATCGCATCCCGATTCCCTATTTAAGCACACGGGTTAGGGTCATCTCATATATATATATATATATATATATATATATATATATATATAAATGCTTTCGGGCTGAGGTTCCAGCCAAAATTGAATTATGGATCCGCTTGTGTTTTGTAAGCATGCTTCCATTTATGCATTTATTGTATGCATGCTTATATTTAACAGTAATCAAGTACTGGAATAAACAGTCGTCTGATAAAATCCCACATTCCATCCAATAGCATTCGTGTAGTATTTACGGCTAATTATTAATTATAATAAAATTAAATTAGATACTAGATTATTATTAATAATACATCAGTAATTTATACTGTTTTAAGAAAAATTACATGCAATTAATATTTCCTAATTAGTCAATAATAATTTACAAGTATCATCGATATTCTGTATTACTACTACTACTACATTTCAAAATTATACTGTTTTCTTCTGATCATAATTACTTTTCTTCTTGTTTTTATATTTCCATATTTTTGTATAGTATAGATACACTTTAAGATATGTATTTTATTGACATGTAGCTCAAATAAAATTTTGTTTACAGCAGTACTCATTACCGCTTACATATTTAAGATATTTTGGAAATTAAATTCTGGGTATGCAAGAGTTATTAAAATAATATCCAGATGAGGAATAGAACTAAACACCAATAAGAGTGCAATTCATCTTACTTACCCCATAAAATAATACTCACTTATAATCGAGTTTGATTGAATTATGTTTTTCATTCAACTCTGCCCTTGTGATTTTTTTTTCTCGAAATTTTTGGCGTCCATCGCTTTTCTGAACGGACCACAACAGATCTATCATTTTGATTCTCTGACTCACGAACCTGCTGATTTTAAGTTGAAAAAATGAATTTAGTCATCCCCAATGAATAGATTTGAAGGACAAATAAATAAAAAAATATATATTTGAATTAACATTATTAAAATGTATATTGTATCCACACGTAAGAAAGGATATACAGAGTATTGGTCACAGATTTTAGTTCTTTTCTAAAGTTTTGGTTTTTGTCAGTTTTAATTGTATTCCATTATGAAGGGTTGAGAAGCGTCACTAATAGACAGGACTACTATACCCCGATGTGGCTCGTACGGCTGCTCACAGGACCGTGCAGCTGTGTCATAATAAATGGTGACCGAGTCCGATGGCAAGCTATTGCAGATATTCACTCCTCACGTTCGCAATACTTTTAACCCTCAGCCAACAACGCGAAATTTTTAGACACAATTAACAAAGTGGATCTGACCCAACTATTTTAGTCGTAAATTAAATTTAATTTAGACTGTAAAGTTTTAAAATAATGTTTGTTGTGTAAAATAATATTTAAAAAAAAAATAAGATATTACAAAATTTGCCGCTTATTTTCATTTCCACGAACAAGACGGGTATAATTTAAGTTTTTGTAACATTTTGGAAATTAGGACACGATGTTTACGCGATCATTTTTTTTCTCTGCCTGGTAAAGGTTTCTCCTTTTATTCATCAAAAAATGTCTGCTCCATTTCAAAGTTCATTTTTCTATTAAATGAAAATCACGTATTAATATTTTATTTTTAACTTGGATAATGTTTTAAAATTTTAATAAAAATGTTTTTCATTATCTCCGAACTTCAAGTTCAAAACATGGGTTTCAATTTCAAAAATAAGTCATTAATGTATATTATTATTTATTTATTTATTAATTAATATAATATTCTCTCATTTGAACAATAATTATAGGGAGGTAAAGCCACATTCATACCATATATACAGAAAATATAAAAATAAAAGAATAACTAGAATTATAATAACTAAAGAAGAAGAAAAAAAACATCTAAATAATAACCAAAAATTATATATAATAAATGAAAATAAAAAAACGATATGTAAAAAAAAAAAAAAAAAAAAAAAAAAAAAAAAAAAAAAAAAAAAAAAAAAAAAAAAAAAAAAAAAAAAAAAAAAAAAAAAAAAACCTGTAACACTACAACACACGAAGGGTCTTGGGTTCAGTACTATTCAGGGAAAGCACTGTTTTTTGTTCAACGGTTATGCAGGGGGGTGATTTGACCGAGATCACGCTCAACCACCAGGTTTTCCCCTTAATTAATTATTTTAATTAAGGGTAACCACTTTATAGAGGCTGGATGTGCCCCAGGATGGTAACCTACCCAGAACGATTTGTATAAAAGGGGAAAAAATTGAGGAAGTTCCTTAAAACTGATAAAGTTAAAGAGGGAAAGTTTTGATACCATATACACGCCACTATCAACTTTTTTTTTGTAATATTTAAAACCATGTTTATGTTTTTGAATAATAAAAAAAGGTTAAATACCTCGAAAAGAGTATTGTAATTTTAAAATCAACATATTGAGGTGTTAACAATGGGTAGCTTCTCGACAAAATTTTATCATGTTTTATATTTTGATTTTTTATTTACTTGTTGCAATTATTTATACAATTGTAAATTTCAATAAAAGAATAAAAAAAAAAAAAGTTAATTCAAAACGAGATAGTTCTAATCCAAATCACTACATTTAAAGCAGTGTGACTATACCACACATGATATATGCTAAAAATAGTGAAAGGAGCTAATTAAATATTGAACCAACTCTAGAGAACAATCGGGGGCGGTGTACCCGAGCGGGTTAAAGCGTGTGAACTGTACCGCGAGTTGCCCGGCAACCTGATAACCGAAGTTAGAGGTGAAAAAATAATTACGAGTTCAAATCCCGGTACCCGGTGGGACTTTTAACTCGGTATTATTCCACCACCTTCTCTCTGGACCCGGGAAAAACTCCGTGTAGCCTAAAAGGCAAGGAAGGGGAGAACTCACACACACAAAAAAATTAAGGAACAATTAATAGTAAGATTACCTATGCTCTCATTGATGTTTATGGAGCACTAAGAGGCCCAGAACTTTTTTATTTATATTCATGACTCGTCTTCTTGACTGAGGGCTAAGTATTGTCAGTGCTACTCTTATTTTGTTATCCTATGAACAGTGGTCTTCAAGCTTATTTCTAAGAAAATGTCACTTAACAGCGAATCTCGATCAACCCTCTGCCTATCTCTGATATCTTCATCATTCAGTTATTCACACCTCGGAATTCGACGACGTGACGGCACACCGCAGCAGGCAATTGAAGTAATGACGCCGTTCTCTGACTAGTTGGGGGTAAGATTGAAACAATTGGTAGCTTCCTCGAGGGAAATGATTCGTTATCCTGTTAGGGAATGGAGGATGGAGGATGACTCAGCGGGCACGGCCGAGGGCGGTCCTAGCTCTAAAGTGGATAAGTGATCCCGGCGATTTCGTTCCATTGAAATATGAGCGGGTGCGTGCGTTATTTTGGTATCAAGTAATGTATTAAAAGAGTGTGAAATTATATTAAGATTGTAATCTCTGAGACTGAACTGTGCTATAGTTACTGACAGGGCCTTCGAGTGGGTTGTAGGCGCCCGGAGGAAAATTCTACTTGGTATTCCTCACTCCCACTTCTAATTCGGCCATGACTGGTGTATTTTCGCATTGTATCTTTTATACCTTGATATATCTATGTATTTCCACCAATCAAGAAAAACTTCTAATGTCTATTTAAGTTTGACAGCATCTGGAACGAAAGTTAGAAATAATAATTTCTAGATAAGAACTTTTCGCGTATCAGTGTCATGGGTTTAGAAAAGTAATGATAACTTGTCCGGGCCCCAAGGCCTGGGAGGACCCTCTAGATTTTTTTTCTAGGAAATATTTCTTTAAAGTTTCCAAAAATGATAAGACATAACAATAATTATATAATAAATAGAGAAGAAAACAGAAATTTGTGGATCTAAGGACAAACATTATACTTCGAAAATATCTAAGAATTAAAGTGCCATAAGCAGGGCATTCTGCTTCAGGTTTTGATTATAACGTGATTCACTCGCGTTGGGACCCACCGCACATGCGTCACTTCGTAACATTTCCCTTGGGCCAACATCACAAATTAGAAAACCAACAGTTTTCAAACTTTCTTAAACAATGAATCCAATTAATTCTCATTTTAAGTTAAATTATCGATCTCACAATACACACTTGATAATGAAAACGTTTGTTTGGGAATCTTCATTTGAAAATTCATTTCATTTCTTCCCAAAGAATTTTCATAAAAATTCATTTTTTAGGCTGTTTTTGTGAAAACATCTTGAAAATTCTATTTTAAACATATTTAAAAAAAAAAATAAGTTTCACCACACCACAAAAATTAATTGTAGTATTTTTCACATCAATTCAAAGATTGACGTTGAATCTTACACTGAGAAATGATTAGGTTTACTTATTTTCGAAATTTCCTGCGTTCTTTTTGACACTCAATTAGCTTCTATAACCATGCTTGCTATCAAGTATTTTTTTTAATAGTTCAATTTTAGAAAATAGTAGATGTTTTAGGGAATAATGGATGGTGACAACGACAGATCATATTTGTTTCTTTCTAGCTGTCTTCTCCTCCTGTTAACATGATGCAATAACGCATTTTATACCATTACGTAAGTATGTATATTACCTGATATTTGCTTGCTTATAATCTCCTTTCCTATAGATCGTCACGTTAGCGGATGTCCCCGTGAACACCATACCGCCCTCCATTGATCCTTTCCGGCTTACCAGAGATTATCTGACCACGGAAGGCCAGAAGAAGCAGAGAAGAAAAAAATAAACGGGGCAGAGGCGTGCCCCAGTGAATAGTGACTATGTCTTAGCGTCACGGTAGGATGACTCCAGGAAACAAGGCACCAGTCAGAGCCGGTCCTCCTCCTTCTTCGGGTCGCTGGTCGTTCCTCTAGTTCGTCGGGGAGTCCCTCCAGCCTGGAAGTCCAAGGCGAGTATTAAACCCGCTAACATATCTTCCAATTAGGCCCATGTTATCCTCAACAATAATAATAATTTTTCAATTTGATCGATTTTCACGAGATAAAGGAAAACATTGAAATATTTGGATTATAATTATACTAAAATTTGGATTAATGGTCAAAGAAATATTACGTCAAGGAGTGATGGAGGGTTGGTTGAGATAATTTAAGCTACCCTAAAAAATGTTTACTTAAATAAAAATAGTTAGTAATCAAATAGTATTCTTCTATATTTAATTCGAATTTATTTTAATAATAATATCGTTATTTTTAATTATTTTCTCCTCCAAATTAGCCTGTCATAGGTGCATCAAACGGTTTCAGGTAATCATTCGTTAATAGTACAAACAATAAATAAATTTAATATTTTGATGTATGCTATAATATTACTTACCATAGAACTAAATATCTTTTATTAATATCGAAAAAATTATGGTTAACAGCGTTAGGTTTTAGTTGTTTGTATTAAAGTCGGGTTGTATGAAAATAAATAATTTATTTCATTATCATATTTGAGAACATTCGATTTTATAAATTAACAATGTAAATTTTTTTTTTTTTTTTTTTTTTTGAGATTCAAGTACGATATAAATGTTGTTGTTAAACACAAAAACATCTTACTCAGAGATACAAAATTATCAAGAATCCTGATTTCGAGTACTACTTGATATTACAGTGAACTTTATTTATCATTTAGATTTAGATTAATAATTAAAAAATTGGTATTTCTGTCAAAAACTCGCATTTTTCATGTTATATATATGTTTGTGTGTATTAGTGAAAGTATAAAATAAAATAAATATAGTTTAATATAGATGTGGCAATTTTACGGTTTTTTCTAGTAAAAAATTTTATTACTGGCATAAAAACATTTTAAAAAAAAGTTTCAGCAAACTGGGAGCTCGAATATTGATAGTATCAACAATATTTTCCAAATCGACTGATTTCAATTCCACCAAAACACTAATCTTTAATATCAAAACACGATCCTCCCGTCCACGTCTCAGTTTACCTGTCGATTTGGCGCTGATTACTATCCTTCATTCGTCCCTTAGTCCTGCGTTACACATCCGTTATTGTTGTATTGAATAGGCGGGTAATGGTTATTTTTAGGAACGAAAATTTTATTTTTCTAATTATATCATAAAGAGTATATTGAGATTATACATACACGACTGTTAAATATTAAAATTTTATTGGAAAAATATTCACAAGAAATAACACATATTTAGTTTAGTTCATAACAAGGTTTTAGTTTTACCAAACAAAGTTTGCTATTAACATTTTTAAATCTTCAGTTTTAGTGGACAATTGTTTCATGTTTCTAAGACGATGTAGCACAACAGTCATAGTCAATAGATTATCCGAATATCTTCTTCCTGCTAGTATTTCTCCGATTTCTTCGGCATATCAATTCTCCGGAATCGGTTATTGTGTTAAGATCGCCTTTAGGAGTTATCTGTTTCATTAAACGAGGTATATTTAGAGCAGGGCTATCTCTATGCTTTTAATATCCCTTATATCGTTAGACCTCAGCTTTTCAAGATAATGTCAGTTACATAACGACTCCATTCATGGGGGTATAATAACTGAAATATAATTCTTGAATTTTAACAAGTCATGCTAGTCTATTTGACGGTTTAATATGAAATAAAATTATTAATAACTTTTTTTTTAGTAAAAAATTCATCTACTAACATTTCGTGGTAAAATTTGTTTAATACGACTTAAAAGAACGAAAAATAGGGATCGAATGTTAAAACAGAATATTTTAAAATAGTTTTTTATAAGATCTCGAAAATATATTTTTAACCTATTGCCATCTTTCTATCTTATTTAAAAAGTGGTTGAGAAATTGAAAATTAACACTGAAATTCAAAAGATAGAAAAATATATTTTTCTTTCTAATAAAAGGACAAATAATAACACATTAGATAAAAAGATTAATGGAAATGACAACACATAAATTAATTTAGAATATGTTTCAAAATTGATAAATATAGTCCAAAACGTCATAAATAAAGTGGTTTTAGAATTATGAAGTTTTGATCAAAAATTCCTAACCATCATAGAAATAAAAGTTTATAACAATATTAATGCTCATATAGGTTGCGATGTTAATATGAGCCTTTGATTTGACAGAATGACCAGCTCCAATTTCAACATTTTTAATTATTAATTTTAGTTACATTTCTAGCAGAAAATTCATACCTTTATTCACAGTTCTTTATTTCAACACTTCAATCACCTACTCTGGAATCAACTTACTCGATGCCTGTGCAGATATTACAAATTTTCAATATTTTCACTCAAGCTGAAATTAGAGTGAGTCACTCTGTCAACTGAAAGGCTCATATATACAAATTGCTCGAACAAGACCACACCTCTTCCTCAGGTGCTCCATTGCGAAGTGTTACGATACTCGTTATTAATTCAATAATGATTGAATAATCATTAATATTCTAATTTCATTAATCATTGAAAGTTGCATAAGAAAATATTTCATCAATCGACCAACTTAATAAAATGATATGCCTGCCTTCACAGCTCAAAGTGCTGGAGAGCTCCATCAACTAGTTTATTAACTCCAGTAAATGTTAAAGCATTGGATTAATATTATAGCATTTGTCTTGATATGTTCAATAAATATTATTACAAAATTTTTATTAAAAATGTATTTAACTTTGTATCAAGAATTATTATCGCTGAACTTCTCACATTTTTTAAATTAATCTAATTCAGTTCAGAAGTTTTGAAAAGAAAAAAATTCTTCCCAAGTGATTTTCGTAAAATAAAATGTTCCGAAAGATACCAGAATATGACTATACTCAGTCACATACCAACTGCTTAGGTGTTAAATCCAAACTTTCCAGGAAGAAAAAAAAAGTTTCAAAATTAATAGTATCTTGCGCCAACAAAATGTTTGAAGGAGATGCACCTCGTTGGTGGGTTTTTGAATTTTTGAGGACGCACATTTTGGTGTGATTATGAATTTTCAGATTGAAAAGTTTCATGCTAAGGAAAAAGGAGAAAACATGGAACTGGTCGAAGCAATAGTAATTGTAATTGTATATGATCAACAATTTTTCTAATCCTACCTTGGCTTGCTCTGTCTTTAAGAAAAGGTGAGCAATAAAATATCTAGGGAGTGGAGGGATAGGTTCTTGCACCATCGACCATAGGCACCCCTGCTGATCATTCATTTTTTTTTTACCATGTACCAATTAATATTTATGTTTTGTATCTTTTTTAGCCCTGATAAAGACCTGTAACGTAGGATGAAACATTGGCAAATCCAATAAAATACTATTATAATATATAGTATTATATATTGACCACACTCTCCGACCAACTACTTCTCAAATTATTATCACGGTCAACCATCTGCGCATCTTTAAAAAATAACTACATATAAATTAAAAGATTTTGTAGTGATTTCATATTTCAAACAATGAAATGGACAAGTTCCTTCACTCAGCACTGAGCCAACTGAGCTCTCTCTAAACTGGACGAAACAAAGCTGTATAAACAATTAATAATTTAATTTAATAATTATGTATTTGACAATTAATAATAAACATTTATAGTTTCATTAAGAAATATATTTTTGACTATATAACTATTGTTGTACTGATAAATTTTTCAAAATAATTGATGAACAATATGGATTGCAATTATTCCTACACTTTATTGTTTTAATTTCCAATGTACTCTATTACTATATTAAATTTATACAAATCAAAAACTTTAAGTGCACCAAAATAACACAAACCCTTTTGTATGTCAAAAATAAAATAAGCATAATGTTTTGATTTCATTGAGAGAAAATCCATCAAAGTACTAAGTGATTTAATTTTCTAAAATGTTGCTCAATGACTTTTTGCAATTAATCAAGAATATCATATTGAATTTATAAAAAAAAAAAAAAATTATCTGAGAAATGAAAGAATAAAGAAAATAAAAAAGTTGTGGCAATTTCAATATTTTTGTTTGCTAACAGAACATTTCTTTTCATAAAGAATTTAATATATATTTAATTATGGTTATGAAGTTAAATATGTTAGGAGTTCAGTTATGTTTCACATTTTAAAATCATGAAATTTCCAAACCATGCTTGAATTATAAAAGTATTTAAATAAACAAACAAGATAACTACAGAAATCTTCAGGATTTATTTAGACCTTTCTTTCAACAAAGCATCTGGTCTACATATTTTAAAATTTATGCAATTATTAAAAAATATAATAAACTTTTAATGAACACAAAGAAAGTTTGAGCCTCATTTGATAACAGCTCATAAGTAAAACAAACAAAAAAATTCAAGGCTGAAGGTTCATTCACCACAATAGATGCCTAAAAAACAAAAACAAAAAAACATGTAATTAGAGATGTGAAAAGAATAATTAAAATAGAATGAAAGGTGTAAGAAAATTAAAACAAAAGTTTAAAAAAATAAAAAAGGGTGCAGCGATCTGTATCTAGTTGCTTCATTGTTATGCACTTTATGAACCTGATTAATCACTATAGTAACCCATTCTAAGAAAATAGATTTAATAATAATAATTTTAAATTTTTTGAAGGTGAATAATTATATTAATGCCATAATATGTTCAATTACAAAAACAGAAAATATTAAAAATTAATAACATTAAAATATATTTTGTTATATTAACTACTACATTTCATCTTAGTATAGATCAATGTATTATTTAACAGCATTTTAAAGAAATACTTCCTTCTTTGGTACTTTTCGAAATCATTACAATTTTGTTTTTCTTTGAAAAAGTTCAATTGATTTTTTTTTTGTATGTGTCTAGGTGTGTTTTAATCTTTTATGACACCAATTTCTTCAAGAATATAAATAAGGTTTGCATAATTATTTTAGTCAAAAGTATTTCTTTGAGCTCCTTTGTTGTACTGATTTGTTAAATCAGAGTGACTTTGAATTGGAATACTTTTTTGGGGTGATACGATTAAGTTTAGTATCAAGTTCTACTCATCCATGTATCATTCAATGTAGAGAGAACCCTCAATCCATCTGAGCCATTCTTGTCACTCCTGTGTCAACTGTCTCATTTGAGCAAGTTTTCCCCATACAACACAGAATCTACGAATATATTACCTGTAGATAATCCTGGATATTCCTGATTGTTAATAGTTGACTGCTTCCTACTGTACCTAAAGCCTATAGCTTCCAACACCTTCTCTCGGTCTCATTCCTGACCCATCCTGCAAACATGTCCAAAACAACTTGACTGACATTTGAAAAAAGAATCTTCTAAAGTAAGAATTCCTACCAAGTTTTTATTAAAGAATTATTTCAGAATATTACTTTTTCTGATTCAGCCTGGACCTTTTATTCCTTCCTTTTTTTCATAAGAAGAGGTTATGATCTATTTGTTACTCCTAATATTACAAGATTATAGTGTCTATGACTTTTTCTCTTAATGCTTGATCTATTATTTTGGGTTGTGACTGAATCTAGATATCAAATTTTCTGAAAGTATAAGTTTGTTATATTCAGACGAGAAATTTTTCTGCATCTCATTTCTTATGGCTGATAAGCTCCTAACAGTAAATTTTTTTTTTAATATAGGTATATATATATATCTATATAAAAGATATTTTTAACAATATCTTATGTGTAAGTTCATTCCTTTAAAAAAAGTTTTTGAAATCTAAACTGAAATTATACAGCTTCACAAATATTATTATAAATAAGAAAAATCACTTATTTTATTATTTGTAATTATAAATATTCATGAAATTAACATTAAGTAAATTAAACTAATAACTATTAACAAAGTTTATTTTCAATAATTTATTATTTTATTTATCTTTTTTAATACTATGTGCCTAGTGCAAACACTGGTTAATATCAAGAATTAAGAATCCTATTTCTATTTTATTGTATTTATTTAAAATTAACTATTTAACCCAAAATTGATGCATGCACTATTTATATTTTATTTATAATTAAGGATGATTATAGAGAAGTAAAACAAGATTATCCGAAGAAATGAGATGATCCCATACTAAGTACTAGTGCCGCAGGAGTTCTTTACCCTCCTGCTGTTCAAGTGCTTAACATGGCAGTCATTTCAGCCTCCACGGTTTCTCCTTACTGTCAACTTATAAGTTAATATATTTATATATTTATATATTTATATATTTATTGTGTATTTAATATTATATTTTTTGTATGAATAATTGATAATATATAATTAAAATATTCAGAATTGTGAATTTTAAAATTAGAGATGCAGATACAGAAATAAAAATGAAAAAAAAATTATTGCAGTGCTGAAGTATTTTAGAAACCATTCCATTATTTATTTTTAATTTTATTCAAATACATTGAAACAGTGATTCAAAGTCAGCATACCAGTGTGATATAAAATGTGCTGATTTATTGTCCTTGGAAATGATTGTTGCCACTGTGATAAAGGCCTATTCAATGTTGTTTTTTTTATATTATCCCCAATTAAAGAAAAAATAATTTAAATTTCAAAAAATGAATATAAATTTGATATTATCAAAAGATATGATATCATCTTTTCTCAATCTTGTTTTTATAGAGAAAAGAAAAAACTTTTTAATACATTGCTACAATTTTTGCCTATCATAAAAAATGTTTTGTAAATTTTTGGAATTGAAAAGAATTTCTGTATTGTCATATATAATTATTGATTTCATTGAAATGTTATCAAATCTTTCAAGAAAATAATTATAAGTAATCATACATCATATTTAAGGTTTATACTTGTTTTGTTTTATTTAATTTGATGTTTATTAAATAATATTTTTGTTTTATTCAAAGTGTGTTTGTGATCTTAATTTATAACTTTAGATATTGAAGTGATCTTTAGTACATAGTAAGTATGGATGGATATTCAAATATTCAGAGCAATGACAAATTTTCAAAATTAATATTTTCTTTTAAAAACTAATTATGTAGAATTCACTTTGTCAATATCTTGATTTGTTTTACTTTGAGTATAGAAAAATAAATCAAGATATTGATAAGTTTACTTAATTGCATGAAATTATTATTATTATTTTATTTTACATCAAAATGCATTAAAAGTATTAGAATTAGTTAAGGCAATGATATCATTAACACTTAAATTAAATTTAGTCTTACTCATATTAAATAAATAATGATTCAAGTCATCAATCAATAGATTAAAAATCAGTTTACTTAATTAAATGTCTTCACATTAGCACTTAGTGTATAAGTACAGACAAACCCCACAGCTGATCATGGAGTTCATAATAATATCAAAAATATTTAGTATTGTGATAAGGATTTGTCCATATTTTTACTATAAATAACAACAGGACACAGTTAATTAGGAAAGGAAGTGCATTGCCTCCTCTAAATCCTACATACTGGCATCTGAATCATGATATATTATTTCCTTTAACATTCACATACAATTTATGCATTCTCAGGTTATTTATCAACTATTCTTCTTTAATAAATAAATATATGTATACTTGAGAGAATACTAGTTAAAATTTATTCATTTTACCACACCAATCTATAACTGAAACTGTATTTAGAATTTGAAGTATGCTCAAATGATTTTTGTTATAAGTTGAGTTTACCAATTATTTATTTACCTTAGGTATTAATATAACATTAAAAGAACAATTAGATATAACATGAAAGGAACAATGCAGTATGTGTATAGAGCGCAGACTTCATATACTAAGAATTGAAATCCAGCCTAGCCCATTATATTTCATCTTGAAAGACTAAATAATTTTTATGGATTTGGTCAGAATAAAATATCAAGGACTCTGACGCCACTCTTTAGGTCTATCACATCCTTGGAGATCTCCACAATGGACAAGATGCCTTCATTCTTCAAGATTTGAAAAGAAGATGGAGATTACGCATTCAAGTGGACATTACATTCCAAGAATACAATTAAATTTGAAAATCAAAGAAATATTGGCAACCACTTCCAACGGCTTCATTGGGTTTGGTTTATTCATTAATATGCGGTACAGTTCAATTTATTTAGAAACTATTCAGAAATTTCTTCATATTGATTTATGGTTGTATAACTTTTACTTGTTCTAATTAACACTATTAAAGGTATAGTTTTTCAGCATACATATGTTTTTAATAATATTAATAGTATACAGGGATACAACTGTTTGCAATTGTCACTGTTCACAATTGCATCTGTCCTTGCTACTTGTACAGCAGAACTGATGAAGGACTGAACTTCGGGCCAAAATCTCAGCGAATGTAAAAATAATAAAATTATTTATTTTTACCATTTTGATATGACTGATCACCCCAACCATCCTTCTCTTCAATTATTCACTTCAGTAAACCATAAACCCACAATTATGTTTTATTATTATTGTTTTCTTTTTTAATTTTTCACTAATCAACAATATATATATATATATATCAAACATAAAAAAATTATTTATAACAGTGTATCCACTTCCGCACTTAGTCACAGAATAAAAACGAATGAGACCAATCCTTCAAGGAGGAGAGGCTTTGCCAACATTCATAATTAATTTTTACTTCAATTATACTAATTTTATATCATATGTATTGAGAGTTAACTGCCTGATAAATTAAGATGGAACAGACGTCAGTCAGAAAAAAATTGTCAAATAACTGCTAAAAATTTATTTGATGCCTATACTATATTTATTTTATTTTTGTTTGGAATTTATCTTTGGCTAGTTTTATACTTATTGCATTCGATTATCTTATTTGTTGTAAAACAGGTTACATAAATATGTAGTAATTTAAGTGGAATATTGTAATACTAACAAATAAAAAAATTATATATTTACTTGAATCCTTTAATTTATATTGATATACTTACTGAAAATATTCCTCTCATTATTTTCTATATTTCTTCATGATATAGATTAAAATATATTATTATAATTACCTAAAATCTGATTACATTTAATTAAACTAGTAAAATTTACTAAGGTTTAGTATTACAAGCACCAAAAAAAAAATTAAAATAAAATAAATAACATTAAGCTTTGACCTTTACAATTATTTCTACCTTTTTGGTTACCTTTACCTACCTTTGTGCTAAAAGATAAATTCTTTTAAGCGAGAAACTAGATTTCATTACAAAACTGGGTAAAGATGACATTGGTTTATTTACTATATGAGTTATACATAATATTATGGCGTATATGGTACCAAGTCACAGCTATAGACTAGTCGAGGTTAAAAAAAAAATCAATTGCTTCAATAATTTTTTTATTTTACATACTTTTTTTATAATAAAATAATTCGAATATAAATAAAATACTAAAATCAATAAAACTATACAATAGGTTTTATTCAGATACATTTGTCTAGTTGCAAGTTGAAACTGCAACTTAAAAAACAATTAAACATTTAATAATTATTATTAACAGTAATTTAACTTATCATATCACATAATTTTGTTTAAACAAAAAATACGTTAGAATACTATTTACAAAGAATTTTAAAATCATTTGTTTTAAACTACCATCAGACGTGGTGCTATGTTCATTGACATAAGTTCTTGGAAGAGGAGTTTGGCAGCATATGGCAACCTCACTTGTGATATCTGAAACAAAAACAAGACAATTATTCATCAAACTCATAAATCTATGTAACAGTTAAAAATATACCTGTAAAAAAAAATTTATTTCACTGAAGCTAAACAGAAATCGTTAATTTAATACGATAAATTATTTAAGAAAAATAAACCAAAAGTTTATCTAAATAGAAAGGTCTTGATGATTAAAGGTTAAAACAAAATAATAATAACTGTAGTAAATTTATAGGTTTCACAATGCTTTTTACTGGAGAGAAAGATAAATAATTTAATTACAATTAGTGCTGAGTATATCGGGTTGCAACATATACAGCATAACTATCAAGCTGTTTCAATCATAACATACAAACATGTATAATAGTATTTTCACCTCTATCCATGAGCCAATTACCCAGTCTCCATAAAATGATATTATCATTTAAATAAGTTATAAGAATAAAAGTAAAGTTATATTTTACAATAAATATTTGTCAATACTCAAATTTCGAATAAAACTTTCCTTATCAGATTATTCATTTTTTAACTTTTAATTAGTATTTTATTTATATAATTTATAACAAGCAAAAGTTGAAATATGAAAAGAAAATATAATACTTATATAACATATTCAAATAATAAATATAATCAAAACAATCACTGGTATGTTCAATTTTTTATAAGAAACATATTCTTTCATGCATGATGACATTGTAATATGTAAGTACTTATAAATAACGCAAACATTGCTTATTTTATCAATAAAAATGATAATTGGTATACAATTAGTACAAAAAGACTAATTTATTTATGATATTATTAATTTTAAAAATTAAAAGCTATATTTTTTTTTAAATTTCAGAAACTTGAAGTTTTAACATTATTTTTAAAGTTAGTGATATGTATAATATGCATGAATGTTTCAAGATGTTCTACAAATTTAAGTAATTTATTAAACATTTTTATACTGTTGAAGATCAGTCTATTTAGATAAGGGATATACAGATTTACGATTTTTCCATATGAATTCATTTTTAAAATTATAATAAAACAAAAAATATTTGAAACATAGTTAAAAATAATTAATCGAAGATGCTGTAACGTCACATTCCAAATAGTGAATGATTATTACTGTTAATTAAACAGAGGGAATGAGGTAATGTCATTCCTATGAATATCGTGGGTGAAAACATTAGCGACGGTATGAGGGTACAGATCAAGAGAGCAGGAGGATGTGAAAAGGTGAAGCTAAATCAGGAAGTCAATTAGAACCAATTGAGAAGGGTTAACTGGCTGGTTACCCAATCTGGCAAGGTACCCCCTTCTCTCATCTAGTTCCTTGTCTCAACCCGCCTTCAATTATGAAAATAATACTACTTAATATTTTACACAGAAAGAAAAAAAACCAGAGACATTAATAATTCATCTTCTTTAAAAATATATTAATTAATTAATAAAACAGTTTCTTTTTTTAATTATTACACAAGATAATCAATCTACTGCAGTTAATAGACAAGCCATTCAAGAAGACCAACAAAACTTAACTTTTAATAGATAAATATTTTGGAACACATACATACATTTATTGTTACTTTAGAAGAAGTCTGGTAAAACTCAAAAATTGAAAAAGTTTCTTCCAAGTTAATAGTATGACCCTATAGATGCTAACCATTTAGAAAACACATATATTTTTTTTTTCAAATTTTCCAAGAAAAATAATTAACTTTTAACAATTAAATCAATATAAATACGCTTTTTTTATTGCATTCTTATTATTATTGGTATTATTTTGTACTTAATATTGTTGAATTCGTCAGTTGTATTGAATAATCAGTTGTACATAAGAGATGTTTTGAAAAAATATATAGACCAAATTTGGTTAGTAATGGTATGTAGTTTTAGTTTGTTCTCAAGTTATGCCATTTCTATGAATTAATACAATTAACTGAAAACCACTGCTAGTATGTATGTGTAATACGAAATATGTATTATTATATGTATAGCATAACAAGGAAAAAACAAATGATTCAACAGTAACAAAAAGCTGAAATAAACTCCATAATAATTTATCTCATTGAAATTAAGTGACTAGCAATAAAGATATCATTAATTTGAATGTTTTAAGCCAATATCATTCAACATATGAAAATTATGTTCATAAATCATGCTCAGACAGCGAATATACTCTGGTATTATTGGATTGCCAGAAAATAATGCAGGATTTTGAGTTTTTTTATAATCCTCCATATAACAAACTGTTTACATTTACTGGATTATTCATTTGTATGAATGTCAACATTTATTAATCTTCTTCCTAACGATAATGCTTGTTTAGCTCTGGAGCATTTCGCAGCTTCGAAATAATTCAGCTTTTACCAAGATGTCAACACGTGATTTTCATATAATTTTGTTTTACGAGTTTAAACTTCGCCAGAAACATCAATCAAGTCTGAGGCGAGCAGCATTAATAAGTGCAATGTTTAATGGTGGTTCAAAAAATTTCAGAAGGGAGACTTCGGCCTTGAAGACAAAAAAGGTCCTGGAAGCAATTCCTCTCTTGATGACGATGTTCTGTGGGCTTTGGTGGATGAAAACCTCAGAACTTGTAGGGAAACTTAATCTTAGCAAATCGACCATCGAAGAACACCTCAGGTGATTGGAAATGTAAAAAAGGTTGAAAGTTGGATTCCACACACATTAAACAACCGTAAAAAAAAACAGAATTATGAAATTTGTGCTAAACTTCTTTGCCGAAACAAAAATGACGCTTTTCTATCCAGAATTATTACTTGTGACGAGAAGTGGATACTGGACGATAACAGTAGATGTTCTGGACAGTGGCTTGACAAAGGAGAAGCAGCAGAACATTTTCCAAAGCCACCAACTCATCAAAAAAAAGTGATATTACTGTTTGGTGGGCTTCATTTGGTTTGATACACTACAGCTTCTTTAATACCTGATACTTACAGGAGAAACCATCAATGACGAATCATATTGTAACCATATTAATGTAATGCATCAGAAATTGGCAATAATGAAACCATCTTTTGTCAATCAGAAGGGGCCATTTTGTAGCATGACAAACACCCGGCCACATGTCTCACGTGTGGCATCACAAAAAACAGTTGCAGCTTGGATATGGAACTCTGCCACATCCCTCCTACGCTCCAGACCTCTCGTCTACGGATTTTTTAGACACCTGGACTACTACCTTACGAGACCCAAAATTTAATGGACAAAGTGAATTAGAAAATGCATTTCTGGAGTTAATTCTAAAGATCATTCTATCAGGATTCTAAAGATGGAAAATTCTATTCCGAGGGAATGGAAATGTTGCGAAAACATGATGGCAGAAATGTATTGATAGTAATGGAGACTATTTTGAGAAAATAAAACAGTTTTAAATCTTTCTATTTTTCTTTTTAAACCAAAATCCTGTATCATTTTCCAGAAAAGCCAATAATTTGGTCTGTTTATCAAATTTTTGGATGTATATTACTGGTTACAAGATCACACTACAGTTGAAGTCTTGAGGAGTGCTGAAAGCAGCCGTGAACTGAAAATTATGTTCACATGCAATGGCAAGCATGTCATCAATTTTATCAAATGGTTAGGGTAAGTTATACAGAATGGAAGGTTAATTGAGATTAGCATCGATGATTATAATTATTACTGCTTTAATTAAATCATGACTGTGGACTTCCGCTATTATATTTATACATATTACTAGAAAGTAATATATTCCCTAATAAATAAGCCTTTTTGTTTGCAAAAGGGAGTCCAGGACTCTTTTTCAGTTCATAATCAAATACTTATAGAAATGTAAATTTCTAAATATATAATTGATGTCTAAAAATGTGCAAATATTAAAATAGATATTCTAAATAATCATAATGATAACAGTGCTGCATATTTTTGAAGTTTAAATAATGAAATGTCTATGTTTCTTAAAAAATAGAATATTTAAAAAAAAATTAAGAGAAATAGAAGTCAACAGTATCAAAAATAACAGACTGCAGTAACTGTTTCCTGCGACTTGTTGAGACATAGTAGCATAATAATGATTTCCAAGAAAATATTTGAAATTTTTGTAACTTAAACCCAAAATAAAATATTCAATAATAATACATAGGTCAATGATACAAGTATTTGAACCAAACATACCTGAGTTTTATTCTTGCATCCTTTGCATTCAAAAGTATTGTTTCTTAAATTGGCAATAGCAATGAGACCACAAAGGTTACAGACATGTATCCGGTACGGATCAGAGACTTCGAACAGCCTCTCTCTAAGGAACTGCGCTGCACCATGAGATATTTGACAATCTCGTTCCATCTCACCGAAACGGAGACCACCATCCCTATAAAGAAAAAACAAATTTACTGAAAACTATTAAACTTTATATAGGTTAGAAAATCCAATTATTTAATGCATTCTTTCTTCAGTGTTTCCAAAACCAACTAACTAGAAGAATATTGAACTCTAAATAATTAAATAAAAACAAAGTTTGATTTTATAGCAAAAAAAAATTGACATTACTCAAAACATTGATGTAAATTTTTTTTTTCCATATAATTACTAAAAAAAAATCTACAGGAATAAGAAAAGTATCAATAAAAGATTCTTAGTCAACTAAGTGTCTCAATTAAATATTAATGCATGCTATTTTAATAAATAATAGAGAAGAAATATTTTTTTTTTACTCTATTTTTGATAATTATTAAAACAAGAACTAGTGATCTAGATCTCTTTATAATTAAGTAGTTGCTGAGAAATTAGATTATACCAAAAAAGATACAATTGTATTTTATTTTAAGTAAAATTGCATAAAGAAATATTTTATAAGTATAACTTGATCATGTATAAATGGCATTGACTTCTTTCAAAATTATAACAATTTTTTTTCCTTAGGGAGTTCAAGTTTTGCAGGCAAATTATGTCGGTATTAAAGAAGTGCTTTTCAGGAGTTCTAGGTTATTTTCTTCTACCCCTGCTATTTATTCATCTAAGCTATTTCAGCTCCTACAAATTGAGTTAGAAGCTTTTTGTGCAAATCAATTTGGTTTTGGAAAAGTGCCTTCTTGGGGACACTTTGTTAAATTAAATTTGGAAGCAAATCACAAAATTTTTACAAATAAAACTTAAATCTTTAATTCATCAGTTAAGTGTCAATCAATTTTCATCTTTTTTTCAAACGAACACACAACCTTGGTGATGGCGCTCTGCTACTAATGCTTTATTTTTGGTTTTAGAGGTTACTTTGTATTAACTTCTATGGTCTTGTTAATTACAATTCTTTAATCACAATCAAATTTGTTAACTATTTCTATAGATAATATTCAATGAATATTTTTTTTTTATGATATGCATCAATCTTAAGTATTTTCCATTTAAAGAAAAATCCATATTTCATTGAAATTTCATAGCTGCCTACAGATTTCATAACAGACCAATTAACCAAAAATGTGATTAATTGTTTGTCTCTGGGATTTAACTGGTTTACAGCAGGAATAGTAGTGATATTTTTAAAAATATATAATTTAAAAAAATATATATATATAACTTACCTAGCCCTACCCTCCATAGGTTGCCTGACCAGGATCTGGACAGGACCCCTGGCTCTGGAATGGATTTTGTCATCCACCATGTGTTTTAGACGTTGATAATATGTTGGTCCAAGGAAAATTTGGGCATTGATTTTACGTCCTGTGTGCCCGTTGTACATAACCTAAGAATACAATTTTATAATTATTATCTGACTAGACATAATATGAAGCCTATATAGGCTTGTTAAAAATCTTATAAAAACTACTAGTCTGCTATAAAAATCATCACTATAATTAAGAGGAGATAAATGCATTGCTGCTACTGCCAATTTAAAATATCAGCTATTGTTAACTGATAAGCAAAGTTGTTTTTCAAGTAAACTATTTATGTTTTATTATTATTTAAGAGATTATGTCTTAAATAAACAATAGTATTTACTTAAAGAAAATTTCATTCTTTTTGTAAATTAAGTTAAAATGCAAAAACAATTTGTATTAAGTCATTTTTTTAATTTAAATCATTTTTCCATAAAAAATATGAATTTTATTTGATAAGTAAATCTTTCCAGGTGTATAATAAAGAAGCAAAGCCGTTAAAATCCATTTTTGAAATCTTTCACTAAACAAAAAACTCAAACACCATGAATTTTGATTTTTTTTTTAATTTCTAATCTGATCCTAAAAAAAAAGAAAAGAAAACCTGTACCACTACAACCCATGAGGAGTCTTGGGTTCAGTACTTGGTAAGGAAGTATTGTTTCAAGACTAACGGTTGTACAGATAGATGATCGGGGCAGAATAACGCACAACCGATATTACTAAAATAAATTACAACCGATGATACTAAAAATATCAATAATTATTTTTTATATTTTACAAAGTATCGATTCAGTATAACTGGAAAACTATGAAACATGAACCAAATTAAATGTTATAGATGGAATCTCATTTAAAAATAACTTATATAACATAAGATTCTAATAAATCAGTATAAAAAACTATTTGTACCGTGCAGATTAATATGTATTTTTGCAGCAGTTTTGTTAGTTTTCTCTATATTAAGTAAAATTAGACTAATAAAAGTTTTTCTGAATAAGCATTTTTTTTTCTCCAATAAATGTAATTCATACTAAAACTATTCTGATATTTTTATTATATTAAGTATATTATTTAATTACCAGTTCTGATATTAAAATATATTTTATGTATATATCGTAGGACTCATAATATCTATCTTTAAGAAAAAGGAACTAACCTCATTTCCTCTCAACTGGTAACCATACTCCTGAAGAAGGGTTGAAATTTTCTGTACATTCACAGCATCGTTGAATGGTGTCGCATCACCAATCTCACCTTTATTAGCAGAAACCTGACAATAATCAATTCATAAGTGTTATAATTAATTGCTCTAAAACATCAGAAACAAAAATTTAAAGATATCCAAATTGATCACAAGAAATTAATACTAGGTAGTATCACTTTATCTCTTCATCATTATTCTAATTATTACTTAAGTAAGCTTAGCTATTCAGATTCAGAGTCTATCAATCAGACAATCATTCTTCCATCATTTAATCATTCCATGCTCAATCATTAAGTTGGAATGATGTTCCAACAGAGACTGATGTTCTTTCTGACAGTAGGGTACGTTTAAGAGAAGTGATGGGTGCTTGATTGTTAATGATTACATTTTTTTATACAGAAAATAAGTTTATTAAAAGAACAGTTAAGTTTTTGTTTTATCCATTCCTGACAGGAATAAAATGCATAAAGTAAAAATAATTGTATTGTTTTATTTAAATTATCTTTTACTGTTCCATAAAATAATGCAACTTTAGACATATTCAGGAGGAAAAACTGAAATATAATATAAAAATACAACGAACCAAAAATATAAGAGGTGTCTACAGGAGATTGGAAAAAAACAAAAAAAATAATGTTTCAAATATTCTTTTGAGTGACTCAGTAGGGAAGACTGTTCAAATTAAAACTTATTGAACTTAAATTAAAAAAACTAAGAATGAAAAAAAATATATACATTTAGGAATAAAGCTTAAAATCAGTAGAAGGTTGCTTGAAATCAATGATTTCATACATAAAGATTTTAAAAAAGTATGGTTTATAAATAATATAATCATATCATTGGCAATGATATTGAATAATAAAACTTAAAAAGATGTTTTAATTTAGCTTTAGCCAACCAGAGAAAAAAATTTAAAAAATCTTATCCACTTTTAAAAGCAATAAAATATACATACCTTCCCTTGAAGGCATTCGATCAAGTGACCAATTGTCATACGAGATGGGATAGCGTGAGGGTTGATAATGATATCGGGTGAAAGACCTTCGCAAGTAAACGGCATGTCCTGAAATAGATCAAGTATATGATAAATTCAATTCATCAACTTATTATTCTTAACAAAAAACAATTACAAATCTGAGGGTTTTTGATAATTATATAATATTAAAAATAATAATAACACTAGATTTTCGTGTAAAATAGAAATTTAAACATGAACATACATATGGAATTATATCATCAAAAATATGTAGCAAAATATGAGAAATATATAAAAAAAAAAATCACAAAACACATAAATTTAATTTTTTAAATTATGTAATAATTTAAGGGATCGACTTATATGTGGGTTGGTTCCTGTTCCTCAAAGCAGGATACCTTGTACTCAAAACTGCATAAATCATATCTAGCTCACAAAAAAGATTTGACTCCACTGCACGACAATCAGAAACAAGTTCAAATGCAAAACACCTTTGAAGTTCCACCTAACACAATTCCCAGTATTAAAATGCCTGGCCAGTAACAGTATTTCGATGGATAATTGATTCTTCTCCTTCTATTGCACAAATTTCTTTGGCAATTATCTTTGAGCTTGCTTATATTTTCATTCTCCAGCAATATTTCAAAACACTACGAATCACAACTTTTTCTTCTGACATTGCACGTGCCTTTTAAAAATGTAAATGACCCCACAAATCTAACCAAGGTCAGAAGGATTAGTCAAAGTAGACATTGAGATAAATAGTAAGAAGAAAAAATGTTTATATAATTAATTATGACAGTTGGAATTAAGGACTTTAGTAACAACCTAATATTAGGGCTTTAGATGGAGGTAGATTTTACTACTGTCATTTTACAGACTTAACAAAATAAGCAGATTATGGCACAGATCGACATACAATCTGATAAATTCAAAATAGTAAAAATAAAATTGGTAGAGGAAACAACTTAAGAGCTCTGCAGTAAATCTAATTACTAAGAATTTTTAGTTGTGAACATTCTTTGTTGACAAAATATGGATGGTAATATAAAGATACCCTCTAATATTTAGATAATCACCCTTAAAAGTTGATATATAGAATATCCTCTAAATATGCATAAATATATAAAGTAAAATATGGTTTATTTGCTTTTAAATTGTATAAAGCATAGAAGAAACTGTTGAAGAAGGGAATTAAAAGGCTTAGAAAAATATATATGTGAATACAGTTTCTAATTATAATAAATAAGTAATTCATCATAATAGATTCTTAGAACTATCTTAAGATTCTTGAGCAGAAGGAACAAAAAAAAAATATTACAAACATTAAAAATTTAAATATAAATTTGTCTGAACAAATAATTTTTTTTTTACCTCCTGCCTATATTGGATTCCACACGTTCCCTTTTGCCCATGCCTTGAGGCAAACTTATCGCCAATTTGTGGAATTCTCACTGACCTCACTCTGATCTTACAAAACTTGTATCCCTCAGCATTTAACGTCAACATAACTTGGTCAACGATACCAGTTTCTGAATTCCTGAGGAAGGTAGATGCATCCCTTTTGGTGAATTTTTTCGTAGTTCCATCCAACTAAAAATAAATTTAAAAATGAATGAACGTAATTATAACATAGTTTATTAAAATAACAAGATTTAAACTCACTTCATCATCATTTTCAGGCAGGGTTATTGTCTTCCCAATAACAACATCATCTCCCGACACCCTGAGTCCAGGTGCAATGATGCCATCATCATCTAATTTGTCATAAATAGCATTCCTCATACCCTACACAAAGTAGTAAATTAAAAACTTTAATAAAACAGCAAAATATTCTAAAACTAAATCCTTTTACAAGTAAAAATGAAATTAAAGCTAAAATCATGAGCTGTTTCTAATGTGGAATTGAGCACCTTCTTTTAGTGAATCACTATATAGATCGACTATAATATCTATCATTTTGCTTAAGACTGATTCGTTTAATATTTTGATATTCTCAAAGTCTATTTCGTATCTAACATTTTTTGCAAGATTATGAGAAGCAGCTAAAACTATACTATCTTACTCAGGCATCATGTAAAATAATAAAATTTGCAATATGGAAAATAAAATATTCTCAGCTTTAGCTATTATACAGGAAGCATTTACAATTATTAAGAAAGTTGATCACTTGGTACGATGGAGTTAAATGAAGTTGTATCATCATTGATAATGTCAGATAATTAAAATGAAAACTAATATTAGCAGTACTAACTAAAAACAGTTTAGAGCGATCTGGGATCAGAGTACTAACACATGGAGAAGAGCAATAAAGAACTGCTTACTGAAATCGGTCATTTAATATAACATGATATGAAGGCACAGAGTTTAAGATGGGCGGGGTATGTAATTTGGAGCAATCCTTCTGGAAATCTCTACATAACAATGAATGCCTCAATAAAAGGCAAAAGACCACATGGAAGGCCAAAAAGCAGATGGATGGATATAATCGACAAAGATGCAATAGAGCTGCATGCAGATAAATGGAAAGAAATAGTCCAAGAAGGCAGAGATGGAGAAGGCTTGTTAAGGCAGCAAAAGATTTACATCTGTAATAGCAAGAGGAAAGAAAAAAAAATCTAAAAACTGTCTATAAAATGCTATAATAAACAAATAATTTAAATAATAATTTTTGGGAATAATCCAGGTGATGATTAATGTTCGAAGAAATGACTTTCTAAAGGAGTAACAAATTGAAGTATGAAATTATGTTCACTAATTTTTGTGACAATAACTCAATTACATATTTAAAATTTATTGTTGAATTTTAATGTTATCGAACAGAGATAAATATGGTTTTGGAAACCAAAAACTCCTCATGTTACTGATAATATAGTAAATAACATGATGACAAAATGGAATCAGAATGTCATGACATTTAATCTAAATTGATATTAATAGATATTTTTCTGAAAATCCAAAACATATATTTCATAATTATTTCAGACCAAACAGGAAAAATAAGAAATAAAACTGATTCATTCATTAAACTGCACGTTAAACCAAATGCAGTAATTTCGGAACTAATTATTTTTAACATGTTTTAAACAAAAAAGTTCAAGTTTAAATAGTCATCAAAATTAAAATTCAATGGATTTTTATGAATACATAAAAATTATATAGGTTATGGCACATTTTCCAAAATTATAAGATTCTAATAAGACATAAAAATTTTCTTTAAAATTCAATAAGATACAAACAAAATAAATACCTGACATGTTTGTCTCATTGGTTTTTCAAACTGTTCTTCTTGATCTCCAACTCTCTTAGATTCAGCATCTTTGTAAGAACGGAAAAACACAGACCTAGAAAAAACAAAACTTTTTTATATTTCTTCTAACAAAAAATGCAAATTTTAAATATAAAATAACTTTCTCACATTTAATTATATTAAAGATTAAAAATACAATATTAACATTAACATAATTCTAATTTGGTCAAAGAACTTATAAATAACAAAGGATTCCATTACTTTAGCACTAATTAAAGACCAGTTCATCAAAATGAGTTAAACGTGATGTGATTCAAATTTAATATCTTAAAAACCTAATAATCTAAAAAAGGGACTCTTATAAGCAAAAAATAAAATATTAAAAGAAATGGGTAAGAATCAGTATCATTCCGGCAACTGCTTGGCAAATTTCTAACCCTTAGATAAAAAAAAACAACAGAAGCAGTAAAAGGCACAACAATTGGAACAGATGATTTCAAAACCAAAATGAAGAAGAATCAATAATTTCATAACTGCACAGCTTCAGGGAGAGATACCTTCACATTTATTAGAGAATAAATAATACAATAAGGATAGGAGAAGAAAATTGAAACCGCAAGGGATATTTGGAATAAAAATAAAGGGCCACTGAAACTCTAACCATAAAGGATATTTGGAATAAAAATAAAGAGCCACTGAAACTCTAACCATAAAGGATATTTGGAATAAAAATAAAGGGTCACTGAAACAGCTGCTCACATATCTCTACAACACAAAACAATTCATCACGTTAACAGCTTAAACAATGCAGTATCATATAATTCTACCTTATATCATAAGATAATATATCATCTATATATCAGCTTAGATAATAAATATTCGGACAATAAAATAAACTAGATGAATAAAAGAAAGGAAAATCCTTAGGAAACTATGAGGAAGAAATATTGAAATATTAACCAGTCACTTATTTAAAAAAAAATTAATCTTTAAAAAATATAATTATTAAAACAATTTAATATAGATAATGAACTTTAAATATATATATATATATATATATATATATATATATATATATATATATATATATATATATATATATATATGTATATATATATATGTATATGTATATATATATATGTATATATGTATATGTATATTTACCTGAAAAATCCCCTTTCAACAGCCGAAGCATTTAAGATGACAGAGTCCTCCTGATTGTAGCCAGTATAACAGGCAATGGCAACGATTGAATTGATACCTAAAATAAAAATATGGTACACCATATATCATACATAACAATGCCACAAATTCTGTTAAATAAAATAATAAAAACATAAGGTCAATATATACACTATTATATCAATATAAACACTATTTATTACCAGCAGGAAGTTCTCTGAAACGTAGATATTCCATAGATCTTGTTGTGACAAGAGGCTTGTGAGGATAGTACAATACGTGTGCTAGGGTGTCCATCCGAACGTGGTAATTTGTGATATATACGCCCATAGCTTGTTTACCCATAGCACTCTGCAAAGTAAAAGAAAATATTAAATGAAAATGTCTAGAAATGTCAAAAATATGACATGACTGTTATATGGGCTTAATCAAATTTTCATGAGTGAGAATTGCACTTTTAAAAGAAAAAGTGTTTAACAGTCTTTTCTACAGATAAATATGAATTGAAAAATTTTGTAGTCCAAATATATAAGCAAAAAATTTACCATTTACCTAATACATACATATTCAAATATTATTGAAAAAATATTTATCCTAAAATGTTATTAATTATGCTCATAAATAACAAAAACGATTAATAACTGGTGCCTAGTTTAGGAGTATATATTTTAAAATAATCAAAATGATAAATATCTCACTTGATAAGTGTTTCTGGGACTCTGGTTGTGATCAGGAAAAGGAATGATGGAAGCACATACTCCAAGAATCATAGCAGGGTGGATTTCACAATGAGTGTATGTTGTACAATAGGCGTACTCTTTCTCTTGCCTCAAATCTTCAGGTGAAATGGCAATCATTGTAGTCTCCTCTTCAAGGGTATCAATGTACTCAACTACACCACTTGAAACTAAAACCTGCCAACTGAAAAGTATAAGCTAAGTTAATTACAAGCCTCAATTATTTCATATATGTTAAAGTGTTTGCACAAAATATAATTCTTACCCATAGTTATTATAATCACGTTCCTTTAGATTTTCAATATGCCTCTTTTTTAAGAGTAACTGGCCATTTTCAACAATAAGGAGTGGTCGACATATCCTACCGGCATCTGTGTAAATTCTGATCTCTCTGTCTCTGATATCTCGGATGATGGATACTTCAGATACAATAATGTCCATCTGACGTCGAAGTTTCCTCAGAGTTCCCATCAATTGTTCAGGATCACGATGAATACCAACCTGCAAAAATGTAGTGTTTAATATTCAAACATTTTCAGTCCAATAGTTACCAAAAACAGAGATTGATTAGGGTTTGTTAACTATTTATAGAAGAATCAAATATAGTTGATATTTTTTCTAAACAACATATATGCTATCGATTACAAGACTGTTAATAAATGAAGAAGATATGGATAACAAATCCACTTTGTTCTAAAGACAATGTTAGATGCAAATATTTCGATGAATAAAAAGAGGAAGAAGTTAAAGAAATAGCAGGCGACAACTTAATTTTTATTTCAAATTGAGCTCAAGGATGATAGAAAAAGAAAAAAATAGAAGAGAAATTTAATTAAACATGAGAACAAATAAATTTTTAATTCGAGAGTAACTTACCCAACAACCATTGACAAATATTTTTGTAGCATCGGCAATAGCAGAAGGCGCTATTTCCTCAAGATTTTCCATAGACCACTCTTCCAAGAACTCCAGAATGGGCGAAGGCTGTGATCCTACAGATATATAGGCCATTAGAGCCAGATTTTTTACCAAGCCTACAGCAGCACCCTCTGGAGTCTCGGCAGGACAAATCATACCTGTAAATTTATTTAGAATCTTATTTAATAACATGAAACAGAATCAATTAATATTATACATATTTAATGTTCTAGTAAATATTACCCCAAAGTGTGTTATGAAGCTGCCTCGGTTTTGCCAATTTACCGTCTCTTCCAATGGGAGAGTTCACACGCCTCAAGTGAGAAAGCGTAGAAGCAAAAGTCAGTCTGTTCAATACCTATGAACAAAAAACAAATAAAAACTATTTAGTTCAATACATAGGTATATAGTAATATTAAAAAATGCATCAAATTCAGCATTAATAACCTATAACAATTAAATTTTAGTACATACCTGAGATACACCGGCCCTAGCCTGATGAGCTTTCTTCTGGTCACCCCAGTTTCCTGTAGCGAGGGAGTACCTAAGACCATCAGTAATAATCTTTGTCTTAATAGCCAACTCCAGGTTAAAGTCTTTTCCTCTATCGATGAACTTCTGGGCGTACATACGTACTTCCTTCATCAAATTCTTAAACAACCTGAAGACAATACAGTTAGTAAAAAAAAAAAAAAAAAACAATTCAATAAGTTATTTGATGACATACCCTCTAAACAAGAAAGCCAACAAAGGTCCAGCTAAATCGAGACGTTTGTTACCGTAATGATCCCTGTCATCTAATTCTCTTCTACCAAGAGCAGCAAGAAGCAGTCTGTGTACCATATAACTGAAATAAAAATAGCATGCGATTATTTTATAATATAAATCACTTTATATTACTGATGATTAGGGCTGATTACTAAATAAAAATAATCCGATGGAAGACATTTGTACTCCATATTCATGGTTATGATAAAAAATATACACTTAAAAGCTTTAGATATTTTCAAGTTAATTTATTATTAGCCATATTTACACCAATTTAAAAAAATTTGTTGTCACTTAATGACTACTCATCAAAATGACGACGTTTCGGCTCGTCGAGCCATTTTCAAGTCTAAAAAAATTTTTTCATTTACAATCATATATTAAATTTTAACATATTTCAAATTATAAAGATACTTATTATGTACCTAAAATACCCATCATGTACCTGTCATTTTCACTTATGCGAATTGCAAGCGTCTACTCATAATAAAATTCCTTATTATTGTCATGTTCACCTTTATGAATTGAGTAATATTGCTTTAGATATTTTTTAATAACTATAAAAAAATTTACTGATGATGCTTACCCCAAAAAATATGCTTTTTTAGTTTCACAAAAATCTGATACACCAACATGGGGTAACATTTCCTTCTGCAAGATTTCTCTAGCATATTTGATTCTCTTCTCTTTCGTTACACCAGGTCGAGCACCTCTGGCACCAATGAAATTGAGTGCTACATTTTGTTCCTGAATTACGAAGGCTTCATCCAATGAGGGCTTTACCTAACGGCAGAGTAAAATAACATATAGTTCCTTAGATTCAATAAAAACTACATTAAAATAAATTAATACAACAAATAATTAAATACCATTTCCATCATTTCTGGATCATCAAAGTCATAAATGATATGTTCCAGGATATCTCTGTCAGCCACAAAACCAAGTGCTCGAAACACGATCATGATAGGGATCTCCTGTTTAATGTATGGTAAAACAGCAATAATACGTTGACCAATGGCAGACTTCTTTATACTCTGTAAATTAAAATAAATAAAAAAATTATTTAAATAAATACAAGAAAAAAAAACAATAATAGATTAAATTCAATAAAAGACACTCACCGCACCACCTCTAGCCATCATATTCACCCAAAGAGTAGAAGTTGGTCTAGAAGAGTGTTCGAGGCATGACCTAATTTCTGCTTTATATGCAAATTTACCGTCTTTCATGCTAAATACATATACTGTGTTTGTAGCCATTTTTTCTTGGGCAATTAATACCTAAAAATGAAGTAAATTTATCATTCAAAGTCAAATAAAAGTAATTTAAATATTTTCTACGGGAAAATATCAATATATTTTCACAAAAAAAAAAAAATTTGATTTCATGAAATGAAGTAGCTTCAGTTAATATACCTTCTCTGATCCGTTAATGATAAAATAACCACCAGGGTCTAAAGGGCACTCGTTCAATTCAGTAAGATCACGATCAGTTAGGCCATTAAGCAAACAATAAGTAGACCTTAACATAATTGGAATTTTCCCTAAAAAACCGAACAAAGAATAATATTAAATACAATTTAAATGAAATAATATTTATTAATATCACTAGTAACAATTTATTATGACAACTAATAAGTAAAGGGTTCCAAAAAGTGAATACTTTGATAAATAAATAAGAATAGCATGAACATTTTGATAATACAGATAAGTATTATTGATAATGTAACATACCAATAAATGACTTTTGATGCTGCGATTCGATTGGATCTTCACCATCTCTGATTATTGTCTTCGTAATGTCAACATATAAGGGTGCCGAATAGGTAAGATTTCTCAATCTGGCTTCATTAGGCATCATAGGCGATGGAGAACCATCCTTCTCCCAATGGGTAGGTTTCGATAAATAAATTTGTTCAAACTTTAACAGGTATCGGGGCTGCAAACAAATTTTTCCAAGGATTATACAATGCACTTATTTGCAAACATCAAATTAAAAATTTTCTAATCGAAAGAGAACATTGGTCACAACAATGTTCTTTCTAATTTTACATTGTATTATATTGATAAATTAGTGATATCATTATTTAAAATTATAAATAAAAAATCATCAATGGAACATATTTTATTTCAATTTATTATGGAATTATTTACCAACAGAAAAAGAGAAATTAGTTATTTTTCAGTAGCAAATGAAATTATTCAGCCAAATTTTTTCACTTACCGGTGTCTCAACTTCTCCAGAGGTGTGCTGGGCTTCAGCTTGCAAGTCAATCTGAGGTGAATCCTCAACAATCCTTTGAACAGACATCTGTATAAATTCATCAAATGAATCAAGTTGCTGTCGTACAAGACCTTTCTCATCAAAATAAGCGTTAATAACAATCCAGCAGGCTTCCTGCCAGAGTTCGGTGGAGATTTCTTCTGCCTCATCATCTTCATATTGTTCTAAAATTTATTAATTATAATTAATAGATATAAAATAACATTCGTGATTTTAAAGTCATGTTAAAAAAACATTAATCTTGGTCTGACACTGAAAAATAAAAAAATTTGGAGGAAAACATCCATATTTCTTGAAAACAATTAAGTGTTATGCACATGGCAATACAAAGGGCAAACTACATTTGATCAAAATTTTTTTTTTGCCTAAAGACTTTTTGTAATTTAAGCAGAAACAATCTAACATTGAGAGATTAAAAAATCAATGATAATACAAGTAAATTAGAACCCTTAAGGCAAACAATTTTTGATTGATCAAACATGGAATCGGCCCTACGTATTCATATTGCCTCATTTGTAAAACTATTATCTCAGAAATTAAGTAATTTTCTTTGTAAATTACAATGTCAAGACGCTCATTTTTAAGCCATTAAACAGATTGATGATTTTGCCAGACTAAATTCCATTGAATATTTGTTTCTGAAAAGTTCCTATTCAAGAGTTATTAATACATAAACAACCTGGTTTCACAATGAAACTGGTGAATTAGTAAGAAACTGATAATGGAGTAAAAGAACTTTAAGTGAATAACAATATAAAATAAACAGCTTTTGAGACTTTCAATAATTTTTGTACTTGTTTATCAGTGTACATACAAAACTGAAACGGTTACGGAGAGAAGTAAAATAATTGAATTTCAACAAAGAACATTTTACACTCCTATACTACGAAATGAAAGTATTAATCAAAGGATATTGTAAGGTTAAATAAGTAAATATATAAATATATATCCAATAATCAAATATTTAGTAGAATATAAGAAAATCTCAGAAGTGAACATGCAAAAGTATTTCCTCAAGATGTGAAATGCGCAAGTATTTCAAGAAAGCTAATTTACTGAAATTACAGTAACTGCACTCAATTATTATGTTTAATTCTAATTTCAACATGATGTTTCTGAAGAAATGTTTTTGCCTTTGTATTTAAATTCACTTTCTAAAGGATAACCCAAACCAGCATATGCACAATACCCTGTAATTTTAAAATAAAGTAGGTAACATCAAAATTTTCACTTACCCTCATCTAATTCATACATATTTGTTTGTGTTGATAGTCACTTTTATTTGTCAATAACGAGTCAACTTTCAAGAAGCAGTAAACAATACGGCTAACAAAACCGTACTGAGCAGGTTAGTTGCACCAGTGTTGCCAGCTGACTGAATTATTGGGTGACTACCATCTAGAACATTTTCTAATTATTTAAAATTCATTAATTTATAGTATATGTTTAAAATTCGTTAATTTATTATATAATTTTCTAGTGGATCTAGTGGAGTAAGCACTCATTAGTTGGAGCTAACACTGTAGGTCAGAGAATAAGTACCTCTTATTCAGGGGTCCTCCCCGAAAATTGACCAATTAAAAAACAAATTGTTTTCTTATTCTTTTTTGGGTGGGAGAGTGGAAAGACTTCAGCAAGAAAATGTTTCCCTTTTCCCAGCTTGAGATGCAAATACAAAAGCAATTTCCATTTAAATACAAGTTATGAGGGAGGAATAAATTTTATTAGAACGTACCATATCAGGCTTTGGCCTTAATTGCATGGATATAAGAAGATATGGGCAAATGTTACTCTGAGTACTGAGTACCAAGTATTTTACTCAAATATTGACCTTTTTTGAGTACCAAATAATTTAATTACTACTTTATTTGATGTCAAACGATTAAGTGAAGTAGTGATTGAATTCCCAATAGCGATTCAATTTGAGTAAAATACTTGGTACTTGGTACTCAGAGTAATAAATATATAAGTAGTAAATATATTAAAAATTGCAAACATGTCATAACGTTATTTTAACTTTTCATATCAATTATATAGCTGTCATTCTAATCAAATTATAGGAGTATTTTAATAAATATTTACATGCAATGTGGAGTTTATTGAACTCCAGATTTGAAATACTAACGACCAAGTTGTTATGGTCAATACGCTATACTAGACAATTATACTAGACTATACTCCAGATATGCCCAAGTATTAGACATCTCCTGAATCTCCAAAACTGTTTTCTAATGCTATCAAACAATTTGTAATGCAATTAAACCCTTCCTTTGATGCAAGGTCTCCAAATGTGGGGGGAAGGATTGATTGGTTAATCCTTGATACTAGGCTCGTGGGTTACTGAGAACCCGCAAAAATAGAAGTATTTTATAAGTTGTTAAATTAACATATAAATATATAAGGAGTCAAGCAGCAAGGCAGTCTAAGCCCTCTTCTCTTTATTGTACTGACGGACGAATTCTTGAAGATGTCTAAGCGAACGGCGGAGTAGTAGTTGGGAAATGGAACTTGAGGACAGTTCCTATACAGATGCTTATAGCGGACTCTTTCCAAAATCTTCAACAAGCTGTAGTTGAATGGGAAGCGAAGTTGCAGAAGAAAGGCATGATTATAAATGCCAGTAAAAGTTGTCACGCAACTAGGATGAGACCTGAGGATATGCAGATCATCTGTAGAGAGGAGACCCTTGATGCAGTAGAAGACTATACGTATCTAGGTACAGTTATCAGCAGAAATGGTAAACTTTAACAAGAAATATCCAACAGGATTAAAAAAACAAATAATATACAATACAAAATCTGCAATACTGGTGTTGGAAAATGGGAAGTTGATAAAACGGTAAAAATACACATTATTTCCACAATTTACCGTTCCACTATGAGGACTGAATTCTCATAGTATACATACGCGAAGAATCTCTTCCTCAGAATTAAATATCTCATAAAAGTAGAACTCGGAGAGAACTCTACATAAATATAGCAGGATAGGATCCTGAGAGATTAACTGAGATCCTAGAGTAGAAACAATGGTTCGGGCATATGTGCTGAATTGACGAGATCGCGGATCACACTAGTTCTTCGAACTTCGACTAACTGATAAAAGACCCAGAGGCAGGCGAGAGATGTTAGGGATGGATAGTATGGCCCGATTGCGAGAGAAGAGTGGAAAGTGTATGGAGTCCTTGAAAACATTTGCAAAAGACAGAGACGGTTGGTATGGTTGGGTCGAGGCATATCCACGCTGAGATCCACGGAGAAAGAAGAAAAATAAATTGAAATGTAAAATATTTTAGGTACATAAAATTATATATTTATTTGTATAATTGCTATGTTTTATTGACTCACATGGCATTTAATGACAAATAAATACATAAGTATATACTAGAACCCGATCAAGAGGTGTGCCTTCAACATTCAATAGTCAAGTTCGGCGAGAGGAATTTGTGCTTAGTTACTCTCCTCGGCCCAGGATACCATAGGCAGATCTATTGAGGGAGGGTGCTTTCATGTTGAAGCCCCCTAAAATGGTAAAATATATCCATGTCTAACGAAAACAATTATCACTAAAAATTATTATTGTTCGTTAATTACATTTAATAGGACTTCAAGAATCAATTAAACACCATTTCTTATAGGTAGTCAGTTACTTTATTTTTCTTTCAAAGTAATTATATATATATTTATATATATATTTATATATATATATATATATATATATATATATATATATATATATATATATATATATAGAGAGAGAGAGAGAGAGAGAGAGAGAGAGAGTGAGATAGAGAGAAGATTTCGGGCTGAAGCCTCCCCAAAATTAATTTCTGGATCTGCTAGTGTTGGATACTGATAAATAGCCTAATTAGAATATTATATGGAAATAGTATAATTTTCGGAATAATGCGATCAAAAGTTATGATTAAACTTTACTAATCCGTTCGTGTAGGTAATAAAAAAAAAAAATATATTTCCTTATTTTCTAAAATTAATACAAATTATATGACTTGTTCATTACATCTAGCGAATCTAATAAATCGATGTATCGATAGTAAATGTCGATACGCTCCTTGCTCGCTATCGTCAGTCCGGCGGATGCCTCAGTTGTGGTATATCTTGTGTCGGGAACGTGAGATGGAATATTATCGTTCTTGTTTATATTTACATCTATAAATTTGATTTTAAAAATATAGACTTTATTTTATGGATCTAAATTGACCAATATTGAGCATTTTTAATAACGATGGAGGGAGATATGTGGTCATTGATGTCCTGTCCAGATTCTCAGCCGTGCACAAGATGTAGCGATTCTGGTGTAACTATTGTTAACCCATACACATTCTTAGAAGGTGCCTACAACTTGAAGTGAGTAAACCAGCTCAAGTATTCTTTTGAATGATAATCATGCAGAAAAATAAATAAAATATTAACCATCCAATTTTTTTAAACACGTTGAAAAACAAAGTGCTCAAAAACTATTATTATTTTAATTATTACTTTTTATCAAGTTCATAAAATGCATTCCTTTCTTTTTAACGTTAAATTTGAAATCCTCTTGTTTATGACGATAAAGAAGTTGTTTTTATTTAAAAACTTTTTTTTATTAATCTCCAAAATTTAAAGCGAACAATAGTTATTATATTATTATTATTATTATTATATTTTAATATATTTTTATTTAATTTTTGAAAATCAGAAAGTATATATTTGATATGGCTTTCTTTCAACTACAATAATTTAAAAATAAATTTTAACCCTCTCGCAGGCTATCTAGCTTTTATGTAATTATTACATTTATTGTTTTTTAACAATTTTATAATATACACATACCTTTCTTATTAATGTTAAATTTGAAATACTTTTGTTTATGACGATAAAGAAATTGTTTTTATTAAAAAGCCTTTGTTATTAAATCCCCAAAATTTATAACGAAATATTATCTTCTATTATATTTTAAATTAATTTTTGAAAATTGGAATATTTGATATGTCTTTCTTTGAAATAGGATAATTTAAAATAAATTTGAACCCTCTCTCAGACTATTTATGAGATTTTCAAATTCTACTTATTATCAATTTGTTTCATTTAAACAATTCATTCGCAAATGTTTGTTCACATTGTTTATAGGTTTTTATTTATTCACACTGTTTATAGTTTTTATCCAAATATCATTTAACATTAACATTTTTATATCATTTTGTTTTCTTGTTCGCTTCAGCCCGGAAGGAGACCTGCAAAATTGGGTCGAAACATTGGCTTGAAATAAGAACAGTTTTTTCACTATTTCAGTTTTTATATGACCACCACCCCGGACCATCTCCTTACTCAACAATGTTTTTTATGTAATATATATTTTTTACATTATTATTGGTAATGTAAAGTTGTCAAAATTGAGAAAGCTGAGAATTTGAGAAAAATAAATAAACGAATAAAAGAAATTCTAAGGTTGGATGCCGATAATTGCTTATAAGATATTTGTATTTAATACCTCGGTTTTCATTTCACACATATGTCAAAATCAAACGAGGTGTAACAATATTTATACCACTGCATTCATCAAACTCAGAACAATAAGTTTCCTTCCTTCGATAATTTCTATATATCTGAATTACTACATTTAATATTGAATTATACTATTATAATACAAATTATCATTAAACTATAATATTTACGACATCCAATTGAATGTATTACGTTTCAATTAGTGAGGCACCTGAATCTTGGGGGTATGGGCGAATTGATATTTAAGGCACTTGAAAATAAAAATAAAAACCAAAAATGTTTTAATCAAAATAATAGGTTCTTGTTTGATTTAAATAAAGTATTTTGGTTATGTTTGTACCATTAAATTATCATTCAATAAAGAAAAAAAGAACTCTTTCGAGGTGCCTCCTTAAGAGGTGTGGCCTGAAGCATTCCCTCTTTCCGCTCCCTCTCAATATGGCACTGGACCATCTCTATGTCTTTTAAGATTATCATTTCCTGAGCGAACTTACTGTTTGTTTTTTAGCAAATATTCTGAAAATTACCGCCCTCATGTTTGCTGGGCTGCTTAATCTAAAATAAACATTTTAGAAAAATCTATGTATACATTAGTCCAGTCAAATTGTTCCGAAAATTTGATAATATTTTTAAAAAAATGCTACCTTTTAACTCTGTCATTAATTCCCTGCTCTACCTTAGTCCGAAAAAAAAAACAAAAAAAAAAACGTGTAGCCCAAAAGACGAGGAATAGAAGATAAAAATTAGAATATTTGTGATTTTTCGATGTATTGTCCAGGATGGTCATTTTTAGAAAAATCCAAGTTTTTCAATAAATCCTGCCACCGGAATCGCCACCATTATAGAGGGAAAACTCCT